GAGAAAGGAAAAATTGAAATCGCATCATATGACCCCTTTAAGAATCCGTGACAGTGGCATTTACAGCTAACTTATTTACAGTGCATGCAAGATGTTTCTTGAAGTGCAGAGACTTACTTAGGTTTTAATATTTTATGAAGATGTAGTCCAGTGTGCAGTGCAAGAAAATGACAGTTCATTACGAAACCAAGGCTTTCACAGAGATTGTATGCAAGCACAAAGCAATGCTGCATATTTTGAGTAGACTGTGTGCTAGAACATTTCATTGTTCCTTAAGATTGCATTTCATTTGAATAACAAACACAGACAGAAAATATTCTGATGTTAACTAAAAAAAAAAGCACTGACGTCTTTCCACAATCCCTGCCTCTCTCAATAGACCTCTAATTCATTGCAGAATTATTCATGTTTTTAACTGTATGAGAATCCTGCAAACGATTTGAGATCCCATCTGTCCTCAGCTGACTGTGTTGCATCTCTTTTTAAAAGAGTTGGAGGAAAAGTATCCACTACTGTTCCCATGTCTGTCTTTGAGCTTCTTTTGGCTTCTTGCCGTTCCAGTGAGCCGATTTTCAGACCTTCCCGTTTGAAAAGAACAGACACGACTTGGAGGCATAAGAGGCAAAAGAGTGAGAGATGGAGAGAGAAACAGAGGTGTCAGGATTAGCTGTATCTAAGCTAACGCCCCCGCGCTGCTCTTCAGATGTGGCTAATCTCTCCCCAACTGGGTTTACATATAGCAGGTGGGAGGTTGAGAACAGTGTTTTATGCCCCGCCCCACCCCTTTTTAATATTTTTGATGGTGGAACCTGTGGTGGACTTCTAAAATGAGGAGGCGAAGTCCCCCCTCTGTTTTGTTTTTTTTCACAAATGTATTTAGGTTAATGGCATATGGAACATTTTTTATAGCTTTTATTTGCTTTTGCTAGCTTATTATTAGTATTGACCTTATTTTCAAACTATTAGTCATCAGATCCTCTGTAAACACTACAGGTGCAAAAATATTTACATATGATGCACCTTCAATTTAAATGAGCTGAGTGGTCGTTAAAATCTGGCTCATCCACAGATCATTATTTTGAGTTTGTTTAGATTCCAACATGCCAAAACAGGTGACCTCTTTACCAAATTTGTTCATTTTTTTTTGACTAGGCACTGCCTTCCTTGCCTTTTTGGAAAAAACAACCCTTGTGGAAACTCTGTTGATGTTGGATGTGTCGGAATGGATAGGGTGTTGGAAGATATTGCCCTTTTCTTTCTGAGGTGCACTTAAAATGCCTCATTCATCTGTTTTGTTTGCAGTATTTCTCACTGCAGAGAGTGACTTTTATAAATAGGGTGAGTGAGTGTTGGATGTGCATAAATGGTGTTTTTGTATGCCTCTGTCTCACAACCTCTCTCCTCACCTTGTTTTCCATTCTCTCTATCAATGTCATGTGATGCCAGTTTGACGGACAAGTGCGTTCAGGCTGATGAGAAAAAAAAAACATCCATGATATCAGAGTCGAGTGACCTGTTCTCCTTCGTTCCTGCTATAATGGAGGGATGAGTCATAGCTCAGCTGTCCATCTCTCGTGTTCATTTTCTCTTCATTCGAGTGGCATATTACCACATTTAAGGAGCATCGTGTTTCAGACAGAATCCAATTTGTACTTAAGCATGCGCTGAGACAACTTGTGTGCTGAAACACCTTAGTAACCGCATAGCAACAAGCTACAGCTTTCATGGGCAACCACACATTATCTTCAAAAAAAAGGTACAATCTACTTTTTTGGGGTGGTGTGGCATAGTGGCCAGCCATGAGCTGTCATCGTTTTGTCCTTGAGCAAAGCCTAACCCGCAAGTGCATTTCTCATGTTTTTTTATCAATCATGTAGTATGTCAAATAAAATGAGCAATTCTATGTTTCAGACAAAATCCGGTTCTGGATTCAAGCATGTGCTGAGGCAACTCCTGTCTGCATGGGATTCAACAACGAGGTGGTGATTGCTGGCACAGGAAGTATCAGTTCTTTAAAAGCAACTCAAATCACACTCAAAGCTAAGTTGATTTTCCACCATCAATGCAAAGAACAGGCTGTAAATAGAAAATTTGGATTCAACAATTGCAGGCCTAAATGGAATACTGAAATCCACACTATAATTATAATCTCAATTTATTTCCATTTATTTTGCAGTCCTATGTGCAATGAAAACTACGAGATCACATAAGACATTGCAATTGTGATGACCATTGTCTGGATTTGTTGCCTGTCCATTTTCAAGCAAATGATAATTCAAAAACAAAAAAGTACAGTTCCAGTGGGGATTCTGTCAACTTCTACTGTATTTCGCCCTTTGACACTCCTTATTCTGACCATCTATACTCTGGACAAAGATGTATAATATTGACACTCCCCACATTGCAGTGAGCCAGCTGTGTTGCCTCTGTGATAGCACTTGCCTTGGGTATGTCTTGCTTACCAGTGAGCAGTTTAAGGTTGTCACATTGGAACAGGTACAGACAACCAAACCTCAGATAAACAAGTAATCAAAACGTGCTTAGCCTATCAACTGTGGTCCACTCCGCTGCCAGGTTTCTCCCAATTCACCTCTTAAAACCTGGCTAGAGTCCATCTACTGTTCTAGACCTTTCCAAAAAAGGCGACTGACCTGATTTCTCCTTATCGCAGAGCTAATATAGGGACAAATAAGGGTCAATTAGCCTGCAAGATTCTGAGCCAAGAATGTGTGACTGTCTTTAATTTGCAACAAACAATGAAGTAGGGAGAAATGTATACTATGCTGCACTGTTGTGTACAGTATGTAGTGATAACTAGCCCATAATTCCTAATGAAGCTAAACATAATCCTTTAGGGCTGGTTTGAGCTATTGTATTAGCAAGTTTTAAGTTGAAAAGCGAGAAAGCAGCCTTCAGCAAAGAAGATGTCAGACTGCAGAATAATGTGAGTAGATAATATGTGACATCTCTCATTCAGTCAACTCAACAAGTGTGCTGAAATACTGTAGGTATTTCAGGCTTTAACATCTCTCTCAAACATTGACAGGAGGCTGTCATGGTTGATTCAGTCACCAAATCAGAACATATTTAATTTGTTAAAATGTAGGAACAGTAGGAACACTAGTGGGTTGCCATGTGCTCCCTTTCCCCCCTTGACTTTCAACTGTGCCAACAAGATAATGAGAAAAGTTTATTTAGATTCCTGATTCTGGCTCTATAGTGGGTTATATGGACTTTCCAACAGCAAAAGACCCTCAGAATTGCCAGGGAAAAGTTTTATAGCCATTTCGAAATTGCTGACAATTTCCAGCCAGAAGCTACTGGCTGAGTCAGACTAGCCAACAACATTTCTCTTTGTACAACATTAAAGAATAATGAAGACAGTGAGAGCGTAGGGGAAAACAAGGCATGGTGCAATTTTTCCATCCTTTGGATGTGTTAATTAGGATATTGGTTTGCTATGATTCAATGCTCTTGGCGTCTTGCAAATGACAAGCAGTTATCACACTCTATGTCATCTCCATCAGTATCTTCATCATCATCAGTATTACCACCACCCCAAACATTTATCAAATTGTTTACATCAAAAGTATGTAGTCAGGCATGCAGCTACTTTTGAATGACCATTAAAGTTTGTGTAAAGCAATATTAAATATGTGTTCTGAGTTTGTCACACCCGAGAAAAATGTTAACCACCCAGCCAAAATTGAATGATAAAAAGTTATTATGAAAAAATAAGCAGTATTCTCTGCTCTCAAACTCTGGGGGTGTGTCCGCTGTCAACGCTGAAACCACACTCACTCGCGGGAAAGCTGCCGCCTCTCTCAACTGTCAAATACCACTACAACCTAAATGGATGCTCCCTCTAGCAGCTTAATTGGATTTACACAGCCATACATGCATTTACGTGACGAAGGCATAGCTAGCTAGCAAACTGTAGGCTGTAATAACTAATGGTAATGACAGTAACTGAGCGAGTAAACCACTGATGCTAATGTGCTCTAGTTATTATTGTGTTAGTAAAACGGATGAGATGTTAAACCGAGGTCCTGACTCTCTGTGGTCATTAAAAATCCCATGGCACTTCTCGTGAAGAGTAGGGGTGTATCCCCGGTGTCCTGTTCAAATTCTCTCCACTGGCCCTTGTCAGTCATGGACTCCTCTAATAATCCCCATCCATTGAATTGGCTCTATCTCTCCTCTCCACCTATAGCTGGTGTGTGGTGAGCGCACTGGCACAGATGTACTGTGGCTGCTGTCGCATCATCCAGATGGATGCTGCACACTGGTGGTGGTTGAGGAGAGACCCCCTCATGATTGTAAAGTGCTTTGGGTGTACGGCAATACACAATAAAGTGCTTTATAAATGCTTCATTCATTCATTCATTAGGGGAGGGGCCATGCTCAGTGGCTCCAATGCATCATCGAGACATGATTTCAGGCCTGCCCAAAAAATCCTGAACACAAAAATGGTGAAATGGTGAAAAACTGGAGTTTTGGTCTAACTCCACAGTTCAGTACTACATAGTTCACAGCCTTTGTAACGTGCTTTCAGCAATACATTTCTAACATTTGTCATGTGTTTAGAAACAATTCTCTGAATTGCCTTTAGACAGACTTTAATAGAAAATTTTTATTGGCGTATTTACAGTATCTATCAACAGAACTGGCTAACTGGACCATGTTAACCAGCCTTGAATCCTTAACTGCCTCAGTACATTGAGCCAAGCCAATTTAGCTATAGAAGGTATACTAGCAAAAACTGACTAATTCCAAGAGTTAGGGAGAGGATGAAAAATATGCTTAATTACAACTGTTTTTGGTGCAAGATTCCTTGACTAACTTTAGAAGAAGTCTTCAAGGAAAAGTGCAGATTGCTATAAAAGAGTACAAAGAAGAAAACTGCTCTGTACCAACATGTGCATGGGTATATGTGTCTGTGTCTTCAAATCACACTGTGATAAGTAAATGCAGAGCTGATCCTCCCTATATGCAAAGTACGCAAGCTGCGTAGGGCCCCCGAAACACCAGGGGGCCCCTTGCTCTCAAAGATGATTTAATTTTAGTTTCGTTTTTGAATTTGGCCAGCGGTTATGAAAACATTAATGTTCATTTCTTTTAATGCGGTGTGCTGTCGCCCTTTCTACGTAAAAATCAGTCAAATCATGTTTTTTTTTTTTTATTGTTTTGTTTATTTATTTGGATCCCCATTAGCTATGCCCTAAGGCATTGCTAGTCTTCGTACCGTGAATGTCATACAGTCTTGCTCAAGACAAAAAAAAATAAAAATGAGTTGCGTACCGAGCCACGGAAGAGACACTGTTTCTCAAGCGCTTTCCGTGAGCGCGATTCGAGACGGAGTCAACACGGACAAAGGCGTTTCATTCATTCATAACTACCCCCGACACAGCTTTGCGTAGGTCCCCAAGAAGTCTAGGATTGGCACTGAGTAAATGTGTGGGTTTGTTATAGCAGTGTTTGGGTGTGTATATGAGTGTGTACTTATAATCTTGGGAGAACAGTTTCTAGTAAAAACTGACTTGATAAAAGCTCATGCTGCCAAATGTATGCCTTCTCCCCAGTGTTGGGAAGGTTACTTTGGAAATGTAATAGGTTACAGATTACAAGTTACCCTACTTAAAATGTAATAAGTAGTGTAACTTTTCAATTACTTTATTAAAGTAATGTAACTGATTACATTTGATTACTTTTTGATTACTTTTCTAAATTTCTAATGTTTTCAATTGTTAATCATTTTCAAGCATGTAAACCAGGCAGGGTTAACCTTACAGTAGTACTGAACACTGATTACTGTCAGACTTTCAAAATCCTTCATCACTTGAATTAAGATTATAATATTTAAATTTTAAAGGAGACATTGCATGCAAAATATCTTCATTTGCATATAAATGTGTCTTGGTAGTGCGTAGACACAACCACTCTACAATGATAAAAAGCCATTCACTCCTTTTTTTAATCCCCCAAAAACTTGGAGTTATCAAGCCAATATGATGTCATATTGCTCAGGCCCCTCCCACGACCACTGACGAACTGTCCAATATTAGCATATTTCCACCCTCAGCCAGTTGTACGAAGTCCGTAATTTTTCAAACCATATTTCTTTATGCAAAATGTGAGAAACATCCAATCATTTGGTATGTCTGAAAAGCCCTGAATGAGCTCTGTACAGGACATCCAGATTTAAAACTGTGACATGTAACGTCTCAGAGAAATCGCTAAAACATACCTAACAATGCCTTTGAAAAAAAAGTGAATCTTAAAAAATAAAGCATTTACATAAACCCATATAGGAAATAAAAGAGTTATCAAATAAGCATGTTATAAACTCCTGAAACATTGGTGTTTCATATTTTAGAGCACTCGCTGCAATTTATGAAAGAAATCAATTAAATCTGTATGTGGGAGTGTGTGTGAAAAAAATCAGATGTAACCCCCCTTTGTAATCGTTAAAATTTTCATAAGTAACTGTAATTTAATTAAAAAAATTTTCTCAGTAACTGTAACTGATTACAGTTACTTTTATTTTGTAATTAAATTACGTAATTCCGTTACATGTAACTAGTTACTTCCCAACACTGCTTCTCCCTGAAGTGTAAGAATCGTTTGTACAGAGCTGCCACTTGTGGTCTAATTGGACAGCCTTTCATTCTAAGCCTCCAGGCTTTACTCAATATCCCTGTCTCACTATTTCTTTCTCCTCTCTGTCTCCTTGGTTCCTGTCTGCCCTTGACTATTCTTTCACTCCTCTCCCGTATCCAGTGTCTTATCTCTCTGTCTCTCTCCTTGTGTGTCCCTCTTCTCTGTCCCTTTCTGTGATTGCTCTTTCTCTCTCCCTCCCTCTATCTCACTCTCATCTGTTGGTATGGCTCAGGCTGCATCATCCAAGAGGACACGTGTTCTCTGTTTATTACAGAGCAAAAGAAGGGAGGGGAAGAGTGAGCGAATGAGGGAGGGTGGAACAGAGGTAGAGAGATTCACACAGCATAGCCATCACTGGGTAGACAGCATCCTTCCGAAACGCACTCACGAGCAAACAAAAAGAGGCTAAACACATCAGAATCCTTTCAGACGACAACAGAACACAGTCCTTCAGCAGAGGTAAGAAATATCTCTTAACTTATTGTGGTCATTGTTGTAAAGAGGCACAAATTAGAATGATCATTCAAGAGAACTCTAAGACATCTGTTGTTAGGTCATGTTGAACACTTGGTTGTTTCGGTTCAAGGTGTACTGTACGATGATAAAGACACATCAGATCAAAAAGTGCCTCAACACAGGGCCTTGAGGGACTCTATCTCAAGAGAAGCATTAGAGTCCCTGCTGCGAGTATTACAGTGCTTGTGTCATAAGCTACACTTCATAGTTCCAGCTTCTGCATTGGCACGAATGGGAGGTCGACAGGTTAAATTTATTTACCCCTCAAAATAACTGCGTCAGACAGGGAAGCTTTGCCAAAAACAGCAAGCCAGTCGCAGTCCATCCAGACCACCCCATAAATTCAGGGTAAGTTCACTAACAGGTGCCCTTTCCTGTTCACTGGAGTAATGCTATCTGCTGTGGTGCTGAGAAGTATTCAGGTCTGTGTAATAACAGATAAGCAAAGCTTTTGTTTTCCTAATCTCAATAACACTTCACAGAATATCTGACGCCAGTGTATCTGGCTGGGTGCCAGCTTGCATAGGAGGCCAGGAGGGCCATGGAACTTTCCAGGGTGGATAAACTGTGACTTATCGTAAGCCTTGACACTTTCAGTTTTAAAGGGGTTAAAGTTTTAATGATGTTGTTAGCACGTGCTTTAAGATGAGAATATTTATGTTGAGTTTAAAATAAAACTGTTTTATGCTACAGCTAATGGCAACTGTCACACTTGGTTGACAACATAGTGTGCAGTTGAAATACATTTTGTCTGTGAAACTGAAAGGTTGGTGGAAATTCAAGCATGTACTTCAATTACTAATGTGTGGGATGATTACAGCTGTAAAGATGAATGATAATATGTGGCATGGTTTCGAAAATAAGAAAATAACAGATATCTTTCAGATACATTCAGCCTTGTAAAAAAGATGGCACTATACTGACGCAACTTGATGCAAGGCTGTGATACAATTTTTTTTTTTTTGGCTAAATCTCCCTGCAAGACAACAAGATGCCCCCATTTCTACATTATATAACAATGCAACAGACGCCTTGAAAACTTTTCTGTCTCACTCGTACAAAACCCATACCTCCTGGAAGCCTTCCCTGTTAGAACTGTTGTAATTTTCCTTCACTGAGCATGGGAAAATATTCTTCAATAAACTGCATGTTAGCTTTACTTTAATAGAAGCTCTCCTGGCTTGAGATTTATATAAAAAGTCATTTAAGTCATTTATAGAGGATTTTTACTAAAACATCTCTTTGTAAGAGGCATGCCCTGGGACAAGTTTGCATTTTAGTGTACAGAAGCTAAACTCGGAGAGGGCTTCCTCAATATCTTGCCCAGGTTAACGTACTTACTGTGAGAGTTTTCTGAATAAAGAATATTGTGTATAGCTGAATTACAAATGGATCTTGTTTTGTACTGATAGATGGGGCCCGGATTGTTCTGGAACTTCCCATCCAAGACTAGCTGCGCGGTTCCACAGAGCCTGCTGCAGACAATGTACGTAGTTCCGCCTGCAACCGAGGTTGTAGCCTTTCTTTTCCGTTTTGTAGCATCCATTCCTTCATTTTTTGCTTGTCTCTTTGCTTGTGAATTCCATGGCCCGTTGCTGTGTCTGACCACATAATGATCACACCTTGATTTGTTGACCAATCACTGGGCAATGGCCAAACAAGGTCAAGTGTCAGTAATCATCATTACTCTGCCGTAGATCATTATTCATAATATCATCATTGCCCAATAGCTGTTGATTGTTCCAGCCTTCAGTCTCTGACCAATCCATCCATGTAGGTTTATGTGTCCAAGCTGATTTAATGTAAAAAGATTATTTTATACTTGATTGTAAGTCTCATGTCCACTATATAGGAATCTGAATTATGAAGTCTTGAATGTCTTTCAATCAATTGTGGCCTGCGCTACGTGTTATTTGATAATGAAAATGTTCATATGCAAAGATGCATATCGACCTTGGTGTCCATTGTTCTGTATTGGTGGCTTTGGTACTTTGGATGCTTTTCTGTTCAAGAGGGTTCTTCAAAACTTGAACTGCCTTCTGCAGTTCTTGACCTCCAGTGCCCCCAATCTAGCTTATAATCAACTGAGTCACGTGTCACCAATTTCATGTTAATGAACTACAATAAATGAAAAATCTCCATGAATAATTTGACAGCACATGAGTGAGGAAAGCTATTATGGGCTTGATTGTATTCTGTTCTGACCTAAATAGATGTGCAGCTGTGATAAATGCCCAGGCTGGGGCAAAAGATCGCTTCATGAAAGATTTTAGATGCAGGTTATTTATCAAAATGGAACCATTAATATTTCAAGAAAACCACACCTAACATCCCTGGATTGGTTTCCTACTGATCCATACAGTAGAAACCTTTTTTAAGGAAAGTATCGGCCAGGTTACTGTACTTTTGGGCAAAGTAAAATGGCATTTTTGAGGACCACATACCAACTCACCTTCTGTCAGCCTGACTTACAGCACTAGGCAGCTCCTGACAAGAGGCAGCGTGAGGGGTTGGAAACACGGTTGATTCTGGTGGTACAACACTATCAGAGTGTCTTTAAAAGCCAGATAGCCATGATTGGTCCTTCAGATGTTACTCAGAATACCACTGGAGGTGTGAAGTGAGCTCTCTGAGGGGCTGAGATTACAAGAAGTTTCTGTGAGTTCCACAACTGCTTTTTATCTCAATTTTTATGTCTTTAATTTAAGACATATTCTGTTATTGTCTACTGCAGTGTTTCTCAATTCCAGTCCTCCAGTCCAGTCCTAACCTCCCAGAATGTTTTAGATGCCTTCATATCTAATACACTAAGAATCCGATGAGTTGAATCAAGTGTTTTATTAATGAGGCATCTAAAACATTCTGGTAGGTGGGTCCTCAGGACTGGAGGTGAGAAACACAGGTCTAATGGGGGGTGTGCATTAGTGTATGACTGAAGATCCTGGAACAGTCTATTTAGTGTGAGGTTTATGTGAGCTATTTATGTTCTTATGCCCATTTGAGTTTGTTTGTTTACTTTTTTTTCTGGCTTAACACGTTTCGTCTTCCATCACCCTCAACATTTGACCTTATAAAGTGGATCCTTAAAAGAATCTTGGCTATGAGTGATTTATACACATTAGAAGAACAAGAAGATCATTCATTCTATAAAAAACACAGAGAAAACTAACTCAGCAATGAAGCCAGTTTCTAGTGGCCGTAAAAGGAAGATGTTGCCTTGATGTTTGACTTTTTCCAGGAAGCAACAAGTGCTTTTTAAACACTACAATATCTCAGGTCTTCCACAGATTTCTTCCATACTTCCACACTGACATATATAATTTATTTTTATTTCCTGGTATATTTGATTCTGCCAGCATGTGGGTGGTACTTAGCACTCTCTACACCTTGGTTATGCAGCCATGTTCTTTCTATTTACCTCGATTATGTTAGCATCCAAATGGCTAATTAAAACTTCGGTCACTTTTATATCCTAGTAGCGATGCCAAGGAGACTGTACTGCTCAGCTTCTTGACATTTTGTGCCAAGATCCTTCGCCTATTTTGTGTTCAGAGAATGATTTTAGAATTCCGTCTGACATAGATTTAGTTGTAATAGGTTTTTTTTTTTTTTGCGCACAGCATAAACACACATTGTCCTAACCCAGTTTCCAAGTATTGACTGGGATTCTGTATATTAGGTCAGACCCTTGCCTTTGAGCAGATTTATTGATTTGGTGTCTGACAAAATACTCTTCCAATGGTCTTTCCATTGTCATATTCTCTTATGAACATTTTTATTTATTTTTGTCACTGAACAGCTCTGGCAGCTGCTCAACCTCTCTCAATACATGAACTCTCTATCTAGATCCAACATGCTCTAAACATGTCTGAGAGTGACCACATTATCTTGGTGACTCCAACCTGTATTTTTTTTCTAGTACTGCAGTTAAGACTAGCAGTGATGCCGTCGAAAATGATGAAGAAGGAAAGATAAAGGTTATCCAACTCCTAGAAGTTTGCAAGGGCATCTACTGGCATTGCTAGAGGTTACCATGGCAACACTGATGGGGTACAGAACCCACAAAAAATAAATCTCTGCACACAAGTTGATTTTGTCATGAATGTATTTGTTCTTTATACTGTAATTTTAGTACGGGATGATATTAATATTGTTGATCATGAATTAGTAAAACATCAAGTGTTATATTTAACCGACATATAATGTGACTTAAAAATCATAGATCCCAACTTTATATCTTTAGCCACACAATCCAAAAACCAGTCAGAGTTTAGTTATTGGTACATGGTAAGGTTGCTATTGCTATTGCTCATACTTGGGTTTAGAGATTTGAACAAACCCATAATCCTCAGTATTAAACGTTGGCATGTAACTCCTCATTTGGTGCTTTAAATTGTCAAGCTTGTTGTGGAGAGGTGTAGTATTTCTTTTATAAGCTATTGGACTTATCTAGTGACTTGGGCTGGACTCTGTTGACTTAGGCTAGTCAACAACCACATGCAACAAGCTAAAAAAAACTCTCAGAACACCTTAGAAACCACATAGCAATGGTGGTTGCATGGAGGCACTAGCAAGCATCACTCACGTTCTGTTTAGAAAGAGTAAAAATGTTGCTCTATTATGGTGTAGCAAAACAGAACACTAGTGATTATAATAATGATCTGAGAAAGGTCAGTACATGTGGGGGAGGCGGGAAGGCAAGATAGATCAACGGAGAGATCGTGACAGAAAGAAAGGGAGTGGGAAAGAGAGGCCAATTGAGAGTATTGTGGTCATGTCTAGACCTCGTTATAATCACCTCATGGGAGGTGTTATGCAACCAAAATAATCATTCCCTACAGGGCTCTGAATCATTCTATCCGTTCACATCCGAGGGTTTGATTTACACTGCTCATGATTCCAGATACATGCAGCTCTTGGCACTGACAGGAAATAAGAGTGGAATGACTTTTCTGTTGACTTGAAGTGTTCTGAATTAAACCCAGTTATTGTGCGATTCTTCCAAGAGATATCAAAGTGTTCTGTCATCTCTTGAGTAAAGGTGGCAACTATCTGCACTAATATTTTATGAGGTTGTTTTTCCTTTTTTATTTCTCATTCATGTTTTTGTTTGCTCATTTTCACAGCACCTGTGCTTTTAAGGATGGCAGGAATGTTAAGAGGTTCAGAAATGCTACTAAAAGATGCTAACGACTGTTGCTTAGCCTAAATGATTAAGCTAGCAATATTTCCATTAATGTTGTAAATAAATTCATGCTTCATAGTCTTCATCTACATACGCATATGTTTGCAGAACTATTAGAGACCAATAAAGTTAGCAGGAGGCTGTGGAGGTGTTTGTTAGCTTAGCATCGTGTTATGGAAATATGACACTGATGGAGCTCCCATGAGCCGACTACCTTCAGCTGCACAGCCGGAGTTTAATAAGTACCTAATGGAAAAGTACATTGTCTCTTCCTTCAACGGATACCTTCAGACAACCTGTGAGCTAATGTCACAATTGGCCATGTGCTCCTGGAGATTGACAAGTCTGTGCCTTTTTGTGTCATCGTGAATCTAACCACCAAACAACATTCAAGCCATGTTCACAATGCCACCTTATTTAAGTCCACAAAACTCCATAACCACATGTAGTTTTAAATTGTTTGGATCCAGATTAGCACTCCTGCTGAAAAAATGTAATTAAAACCAACTTCTGATGGTAGCTGGTTTTACACGGAGTGTGTCTCAATCCACTCCCTAGTTCAGTATTTAGTACACTGCCCAGGTAGTCAGTTATTTGTAAGACATTCCAGTGTACTGAAACATTCACTCACTGAAAGCATAAGTTGCTCAGTATGTTCTCCTGCTGAAAAACGTTGTCTTCTTCAGTCCTTTAAGTCATCAGAACAGTGATGTTGTTGATATGTTTAATGCATGATGTCATAAACATGTTGCACGTAATTGAGTCATTAGTTTCCTAATGTTTATTGGATCAAAGTCCTTGCTAGTGCCTGAAATCGTGTTTACGATATACTGATTCTTTCCATAAAGAACTAGGCAGTGGAAAGAGACGCAACCATGGTTACTAGCTGGTCCAAGCAAAATGGTTTAACTGTTTAGTTGTCCTGCCACCAGTGGGGCCGAGATCAAACTAGTCCCCACCAGCTTAGCTACTAAATGTTCCAAAACACAGCTTGACCAGCTTTACCACCTTAAAGACCCCTGGGAAATTGTTCAACAAGTGCAGTTGTACATATTTCCTATTGAGACAGGAAGTTTGAGCAGGGCATATTGAAGAGGTTATGTCTCAGCCATAAACCTACACATTTGTGACTTGATTACAGGTGGTATAAGGAGACATTTGGATTCTAGAGAACATCTGATTGAACAAAAATATGTAGTGCAGGATGAGTCATCAACATTTGTTGCCTGTTTTTCAGAAAGAGAAATTCTGTCCATTTTAAATGTGCACATCTGATTAAAGTTCATTTAGTACATTTTTAGGAATACTCTACAATATAGATGATCTCAAAGCTAACAGACATGGGGTGAAAGCTACAAAACTACAATTTTAAAAATCATGACGAACTACCATTTTGATATCATGGGGTCTTTAAGCTGGTATGATCTGTTTTTTTCCCCCAGCAGGGACTGTATACAAGGTTTGAGTGGTGTAGGTAATATTACAATATTGGAGCACCAGACGGATTTGATTAGATTTTGGTTTGCTCTCGAATAGCCTTGTTAATCTCAGGTGTGTGTGTGTTGCCATGGTGATTGCAGGTTGCTCTCCAGGATGGCTGGCATAAAGGATCAGCAGTTCACTGAAGAGAAACCGCTACTGCCAGAATCCAGGGGACAGGAAACAGAGATGGTAAGTATGTGTGTGAGCGAGTATGTGTGTGAATTGCTAAACATAGTAGACCAGTTAAAAATGGCCCCGTTTTTAGGCAAGAGAACAAAAAGTTGGATGTGTGTGTGTGCATGATAAAGGATTTATCTATGCTCACCAAACACCACATTTCATCTTAATCCACACATCTGTATTAAGCTAAAATGAAATGAAAAGCATGACGTGTTTAGTGCCAGTAAAAATAAATGTCTTAAAATATCAGTTAAAAGTTTGGGACACTGGACAATAAGTGGTGTACTACTTTTATGCTTTTCTTTAGAAGTACTCTGATATTCATCAGAGCACAATTAATTATAGACATTTGAGTGATGCTAACATCTGAAATCCATTGATTAATGATGCAGTCTGCTGTAATTCCTAACCCTTACCTGATTAAATCAATGTAGAGAATCAATCAAATGCACTGGGTTTTAAGTTTTAATTTTAAGTGCAAAAATTGTGATTTTCCAGGCCAGGAATTTTATAAATTCTTGGTAACACGTAACAATAAAATTGTATATGCTCACATTAGTTGATAAGGTGTCATGAACTAGAAATCAAAATGTGTTTTTTGAAGGCATACAAAACCCTTGAAAAAAACAAACAAAATTTTTTTTAGAAATTTCTATACAGAATTAATATTTTTCTATTCATGTACAGTTCTAGAACATTTTGTCATTTTGTCAAACTGCAGTGTAATCCCTATAAAAAAGATTATAAAAATTAGCATTAAATAATCGCAAATGATTGGAAGTCATGGCAGTTCATTCATCAAAGCTTGTTGTGTGGATATTGTGTCTGCTGCTTATTTTTCCACATATCACACAGTAGTACCATTCATGCATATCATAATTTTTTTTCTTCAGCTTCTCACCTCCACCACCAAAGCATTGTCCTCCGGTCCTATAGAGGGCACTGTCTGCTGTAGTTTGCTGTAATAGTGTTTGTGTCTGTGTGTAATGTGGCAGGCTAAAGGACAGTGTGTGCACGCGCTGCCCTGTGCTACGCCATCCCCCCCCACGGCTCGCCCCCCAAAACGCTGGCATGCCATCGCCCGACACTGGCTCGGCCTGACACGCCGTCGGACCAGCGGGTACTTCCCGGTAGGCTGATTACCGCACAGAGCATGTCCACGCTTCCAACTAAAAAATAGTCATTTTTCTCAAGTCCTTTGTTACCTTATCTCTGTTAGAAAAGACCAAACAAGGCCTAATATTTTCTCTCTCCCCAAGTCTCTACCTAAAAACTCAGTTTCACATAGCCTACTGTCTGATTTGGGGAAAATTACAGATTTGAAATCGTGATGTGTGCAACATAAAAATTTTATTTTTGGCACAATGTTTATATTTAAACACACTGCTAATTAACAGCACAATTATAAGCAATAATCAATGGATTACCTGTGTCATTTAATTATTACTATTTTTATCATATTTTATATTGTTATTATTATTTACTTATTAATATTATTATTTGCTTAAGCTAATTTCTTTGCACATGATAATGGTATATAAAAACAAACATCAACAAGTCACAGGTTTCTATTTAGCTTAGTTTTTTTGTTTTTTAGCTAATCAGTGAAAGTCAAATCAGTGTAGTTTCAGTAATCAGGACTTCAAAACACCACAAAAAAAAATCAGATTTTTACAGATTCATTTCACAGATTCATTACGATTTTTGTTGCATATTTATTGCAACATGACTGTAACGTCAGATGCAATGCTTAGAAATGCCAATAGCTGTGTCTGAATTCAATCATTTATGTTAACATATGGCATTCACTGTAAAGTGAATGTGTGAACAAGAACGAGAGAGTGTTTTTGGACAAAACATATGCTCAAATGTGTAAATAGTACAGTAATGGCTCTGAATATGTTGTCGTGATAGCAATATATCATGATGGACATGAGCACAGGCCAAATTCAGTTCTCTGTCCTGTCCACACAGACTCTTGTCGAGCATTGTGCTAACACCTATATCATTGCTATGGGAACCTGTTATGATATGCTGAATTCTGACTATGGATCACCTGCAAAATGGCATTGCTTAAGATAGGATTTGAAAAACAAATCAGCTCTATGTGCAATGTGAACAAAGCTTTATATACTACAATGTCATAAGTTTCAGTTCCTCAAGAAGAAAACAGCACATTGTTGTTTACCTGTAAGGCTGCCCCCTTTTGCACTTCTGAGGTACTGCATTAGAATTTTAACCCTGAAAAGGAGAAAGGAGTGACACCTGCTGGTCCGACATTAAAACTGCTTTTGCTTTTCTGCTGCCAACAGCTCAAACTGCATGCACTAACCTCGTTCTTTAGGTTTGTGGGTTTCTTCCTGCTTCTGCCAATCTGCACAAGAATCACATTATAAGTGATACTTGCTTTTCCAAAATGGATGCTTTGTTTTTATCTTATGTAGATTGTGCTAATTCATGTTACCTTGCCTTTTCAGAAGAATGAGATGGATTTTTATGTTATTCCTATGGTGACTGTATTGTGATACAATTGTCTGGCAAGGCGATGTTGTCCTGTTCTCAAGCTGTGCTTTTACAACTGTGTTTTGTACTCATTTCACCTTTTTTCCATAGCACATTGTGTTCTTAACAGTGTCTTTCTATGAAGGTAAAATGACGTCAAAAAGATTGCATACGCAGGGTAATATTTGTGGAAGTGTACATAAGACTGTAAGCGTAAATTAAATTTGCATGC